TTTGGTCCAGAAGTACCATATATAAGTGCAATAGGTGCTTTATTATATTTAGCACTATGTATTAGACCAAATATAGCTTTTTCAGTCAACTTGTTAGCAAGATATAACTCTGCTCCAACAATTCGTCATTGGAAGGGAATCAAAGATATATTGCAATACCTTTGTGGGACAACAGATATGGGTCTCTTCTACTCAAAGAAATCCACAAATGACCAGGTCCTTGTTGGATATGCAGATGCTGGTTTTCTCTCTGATCCATATAAAGCCCGCTCACATTAGTTGCTACATCTTCAAATCACTCATAAATACTTGCTTTACATGAAGCAAGTCATGAATGTTCTTAGTTAAGATCAATGATCCATCATATCCATAATTCATGTGAACTAACTTCGAAGATAGATAATCCAACTGTCATCTATGAAGATAATGCAGCATGTGTTGCCTAAATGAATGAAGGATTCATCAAGGGCGATAAGACTAAACACATATCTCCAAAGTTTTTAAGTGCACATGAGCTTCAAAAAGCTAAAATTATTGAAGTTAGACAAATCCGTTCCAATGAAAATCTGGCAAACCTGTTCACCAAGTCTCTACCAAAATGCACGTTTCAGAAGTTAGTGCAAAGTATCGGATTACGTCGACTTACCAATCAGATAAATTTGGAAATTGTGGAATCATGAGAAGATACATATTAGGGGGAGCATCCATGATACATGCATGTTGTACTCTTCTTCCTTTGATCAGGATTTTTCCCACTGGGTTTTTCCTATCAAGGTTTTAACGAGGCAACATAAGCATATTTAACACTGTATCAACAATACAGGTAAAGTTGTACTCTTTTTCCTTCACTATGGTTTTTTCCCACTGGGTTTTTCCGAGCAAGGTTTTAACGAGGTAACTGATGTTGATATGCGGGTATCTAAGAGTGAGTGTTGAAAACATTAGTAGTGTTGAAAATATTTGGCAGATTAATGAATGCCCACACAAATTTTCAATACCCACACAGTAATGTGGACTTTGGAAATGAAGGAGATCGTATTTTCAAAGTGTGTATGCTGGAGTTGCTCTATAAATAGAGTGCTCCGTGTACTATCAAAATACAGAGAAAGGAAAGATAAATAACATTAGTATCTATCCGCCCCTCTTTTATTTGTCATTCCCTTGTGTTACAGTTCCAATGTGATATTTTACACTTACTTCGCTCCTGTCACTAGTAAAGATTATCTCTCTAACTTTTACTTATTTATAACAAAATTGAGTTTTCATGAATATTTTTAGTTTTTATAATAGGCTCATTGATTTTACAGAATTTGATTATTTATCATTCCAAATACATTTTACTTTTGAAGTAAAAAGCGACCACAATCACCATTACAAATTCTAAGGAAGGTTACTATCACCACCATTGTTGTCACCCTTCGTACAACTACCACCACAACTAAAATTGCCACTACCAGTGTTGCCATTATTACCACCACTATTACTATAAACACAACCACCATCATTGTTGTCATAATCACAACTACAATCGTGATCCTCGCCGTTGTCACTGCGCCTACAACTATTGTTACCTCTATCGGCTTAACAACCACACCCTTTTATTGACACCACTAGCACTACCATCAAACCATTACCTAGCCACCGTTGGTTTTGTTGTACTCCATATTTTCATGTCCATTTTTACCTTTATATGCAATTATATCACTTTTACATTTAAAGTTTACCAACCGCTTTACACTAATTTTCTACTCACAATACTTTTAAATTTACATTTATCGAACGCTCAACTGTTTTATTTTTCAGCTGATTATTCTTAAAGTTTAGCAGAAGCAATGTTTAAAATAAGCACAACAATTCTAGACTAGACCCAAGAGTCGCTCTTTAAATTTCCTTTTTCCTTAAGTAGGTTGTGTTTGAATTATTAATAATAAAATATTCAAAAAATTTTAAAATAGAGAGTGGTGTTGGAAATAAAAGATTAACTTTTTTTTTTAACAATATTTACTTCTTAGTTTAACAAAAAATTAAAATCTCTTCGAGATGTAGTATCTTTTGCCCACTGCAAAGTATCCCAACATGTAATGAGGTGTAATGAGATGTACTTTTGCTCACGGTGTTTCGAGTTTAAACTCATATCCTCAATGTATGTTAGTGTAGAATATTGCTGATACTAATAAAGGTGGTGCTCTTCACACATTCTTTTTACTTTCCACACATCTCTTATTGATCTCTATCATTTGATCTTCTTTAATTTTGTTTGACGTATCAGTTATATATTGAATGGGATGTGAAAATAGCACCTCTAACAAAAACATTATCACCATTAGACTCTTTCAAACATCACATTGAGGTGAATATAAACTAGCTAGTTTACACCAATTAAGCGGTTTTTATTCTACGACCCTTGTATAGTTTGCACCTATACAACAATTAAGTAGTCCCGATATCTTTACGCTTAGTAGTCACCCTCTAATAATGGACTGCATGCACAATGATCCTCTCCCAGGCAAGGACAATAATTCACATGGATGTAGGGTGGGGGCAATGGCGCGGTTATGTTTCCACGAGTGAAGAATAATCCAAAACGGTAAAAGTAAGTGTGGGAGTTGGTGGTTTCCTGGAAGAGGAAAAGCAAGCACGTACTTACAGGACTGAGACCCACAAGTACCTACTCTCATGCGTAACTGCGTAGTGCCATGCATCATGCAACAAATAATAATATGAAGGTGACGGAGATCTGTGGAGTGTAGTACTATTTGTGTTCCCTGTTGGGCGCATATATATATGCTTCCCTACAGCGTTGTTTGCGTTACTTCATTGGCAATGATATGACATGACAGATGGCTTTGTTTTTTTGCAGTAAACAATCAAATCATTGGCAGAAAATTTCATTTTATAATTGCAAGGTGGAGATGTAATGGTTGGTGTCATACACAGTAACACATTTTTGCTCTGTGTAATTTGGTTTGCATTATTCGTGTCTGTTCTCTTAGACCTCCTGATTTAAAGAAAATTGTGATCACTCACAGTTTGATTTCAATTCTTTATCATTGGATTAAGATTAAACAATTTGTGATCACAATTATTAGACCATGGGGTAAGTTTAGGAGAACTGGACTCCCTTTTAAGAATCAATGGCTTGTTTTTTGGGATAGATCTGACTGTGATATGCCTAAATGCTTAACTCAAACCTTGCTAGATACAAATTTTCCACAATTAGGATGTACATTCTTGGTCTATGTGAGATATGCCATATGGCCGCTTGGTTTTTACATAGTTTGGCTGTTCCATTCCATTTTCTATGTTAAATGTTGCAATTGGAATGTGCATGCATGAAGTGAAATGATTGGATGCCAACGATCCGATGTTGTTACTAAAAGCTGATGTGATGATCAAACTACATGGAGCTCCAGGCCCTCAATTTGAAGCCGCATCATCAGCAGCAAGATGCTTTGAATGGAAGTGAGGAGCGCCACTGCAACTTTTTGTTTACGGTTAATCAGATATGGTAGACCGGAAGTGACTTTTTCAAAGTGGGCATAGAAAGTTCACGAAAAGCCAAGAAAAAGTTTTCCATTTTCAAGCAGGGGGTTAAAACCATGTTAGGTCTGCAACTTTGCAAGGATAAAATGACGTTCAATGTTGTACCAAAAGTCATGAAAATGATTAGTTCCTCTCTCTCAATCTTCCTACCAAGAATTAATATTTACTTTTCTTGCAAGTAAAATTGTAAATTGAATAATGGAAAGGTTTTTTTTTTTTTTTTCTTCAAATGATTTGAGAATACAACTCATCATGTTGTATTTTATGTCACGTGTTATAATAAGAATAGACAATATGACTGAGATGTCCCGCTTTGAGGATATATTAACAAAATAAATTATAGTGTTATAATTTGAGTTGAATAGTAACATCACTTGGGTACGGCTATACTAAAAAATTGCTCGATGAAACAGACCAAAGTACTACTTCTAGAATTTTTTTGCATAAATATTGGACTTTACATAGTCCCACCCATATCATATGATCATTATAGTAGATAAAATTGTATACAAGTAATCTTATTGTTTGTGATAAAAGTTTAATATTTCTAGAAGTAATGCATACTAATTTCTAATTAAGGGTGGTTGTGAGAGCTTGAAATTAAGATAGAATTGAAATTGATTAATTGACTCTCATAGCTATTAATTAGTAAGCTTTTCTTTTCTTTGTTATAATTTGCTTGGCATCCCCATCCCACACCAAACATTCTGTGAAACAAAGCACAAGTAGCGAATAGTAGTCTCCTAATAGTATTTCTTAAAACTAGTGTACCTAATATGCCAAAAAAAAAAAAAAAAATATGAAATCTAAGTGTATCCCACTTTAGCAGTAGACTTTGCTTGAACATGAGTTTTAATGTAAATTTGTAGCTAGCATCCATATATGTATTGACAAAAATAAAGGAATTGTTAAGCAAAGTAGGGGTCATCCACTTTGTATGTAAAACAATTAACAAAAAGATGAATCTTGTTGAAGGTCAATCTTTGTGCTTCCAAACTGAATGTGATCACGGACATTTCATATTGTGGATGTACGTAGATTGTAGACTTTCCCAAAGTGGTTGCAAGATTTTTTTTTTTTTTGTATAAATCATGTACTAATAAATTAGTTAACATATATAATCTGAGTTAATATACAGATAAATTTTCCTTGCCATCCTAAAAGTAGAAATATTAAAACTAGAGTAATGATAATTGCACACAAACTAATCACATTGCTAACTATGTTTTTAATACAGAAATTTCATAACAGCAACATATAGAGATTATTTTTTATTGGAGAGATAGATGTAGATGAGTTAAAATGTGATTAGTTTTATATGACTCGTAACAATGTTGTTATAAATATATTATTGTACGAAGAAATAGAACAAAACAAAGAGAGAACCTTTCTTGTTTGGTCGGACCAACAATTAAAGAGAGAACAAAAGACAAGAAAATCTCACGATTCTCACCTCCCTTCTCTCCCTGTCCTTTCGGACTTTTGCAGTGCTCTCTCTCTCTCTCCCCAAATAAAAGCCAACTTATCATCCCACCGTTTATTTTACCTCCAGCTCTCATTCAGCTAACCCATATTCCATAACTCACAAATATAACCAGCACACCCTCCTCCCTCTCTCTCAAAAACCATGTCTAAAATCCTATGCAAGAACTTCCACTGCTTCCCTAATTTCATCAAATGCCTACCCACAATCCAAGCTCCACCGGATCAAGCCTCAAACGAATTAGACCACCAAAACCAGCCACCACGTCCCTCTACCACCACATGTACATCTCTTATCATCAAGAACTTCAACTCCCTCTACCATGACTTCAACTTGGTGAACTCATCATCAGATCACTCAACCTTCAAATCCCTCACAGCCTCCTCCTCCTCCGCCGACGATCACTTCTACAACTCCTCCGACGAATCAGACGCCGACCAGTACTCCCCTCCAGATTTCGCCACCATCTTCGCCTCTCAACGCTTCTTCTTCTCCTCCCCGGGACAATCCAACTCCATCGTCGAGTCTCCAGACACCACCACAAAACCCAAGTCTTCTCACAAAAGAATGTTGGTCACCAAAGGCGTGCGCGTTCCCAAGTATTCCTCAAACCCTTACATGGATTTTCGGCGTTCGATGGAGGAAATGCTCGAAGCGAATCGAGATCATATATCGGCAGGTGATCATGTTCATGCTACAAGCGATGACATGGAGTATTTACATGAGCTTCTCTTGTGCTACCTTTCGCTCAATCCGACACACGCGCACAAGGACATTATCAGTGCCTTCACCGATCTTGTCATCGGCCTACTGTGTGCTGAAGATTCACCAGCACCTGCACCAGCTTCAGCGGCTGATATGACCGTGAAAAAAAAGCCGGAAACTCATTAGTTAGTGGCGACGCGACTAACATTTGGTGGCGGTTAGCGTAACGGTTCGAAAAAGAGAAAAAAGACAAAGAAAGATAAGTCGTTTGTATTGGCTCTTCTCTTTCAATGGATGTTCATGTTTATGTATGAGGACAAAGAAAATACGTATTTTGATGATCACAAAACCAAGGAAGGCGTGGGATATGTTGAGGTCTCGAGATGTCTGTTTATGCATATTTCTTGTAGTATTTGTTGATTGTGCTGCGTAAAAAATTGTTTTTAGGTTTAACAATGTACCTTTTTTGTGGTTGAATGTTCGTCATTGACAATGGTAATTGGTGGCAAGAAAGTATGGTTTACTATTCTTGGCCTCTTTGTGGACCTCTGGTGGTCCTGCTAACATTATTAAGTCGCTGCAATTAACAAGAAGGAGATCTAGCCTAACTATTTCTTAATTCAAGGTAGAAAGGAATTGAATAGTCACATTATCTAAAATAAATAAAGTTTAATCTAAATAAAGAAGTTGGTATCTTCTACCACCCCTAAAACATGCATGAATGAGATGAAATATGGAACAATGCTGCCAAAGGAAAAGTGACACATGCGTAGCCAATTAGGGTGACTATATATCTTTCTATTCAACACACCACCCATATATATGGAGAGTAACCCACCTTACTATTGTAAGTTTTTTTTTATCGATGCAGATTGCAAACTCTTTACCTTACACGTCCTCACACGCCCCTTGCATGTGACGAATATTCAAGCCAAATATGTAGACAACACAAATTGAGTGGTGTGAACCACGTGTGGCCGTTGGGCTTCATATGTGGGCTAATCTACTCTAATATCGATCACAGAAGAAAGTTGAGATTACATCCTAAAACTAATTAACAATATAAATAGTAGCCCAACTTATTTTTAAGTACTTGCAAAATTTCTACTTTTACAGACATGAGATAACATTCACATTCTCACATGAATTCAACCGAAATGATTAACGAGATAGAACTGAACCCGAAAATTAAATAAATTAAACATTTGCGTGTTGGAATTGATCACGTCTTGACATGAAACTAACGTGGTTTGCTAACAAAGGCTTATGATAATTGATAAACAATTAAATCTAGTACGAATAATGTTATTTTGACACATAAAATTTAACTCTCTCCTCTTGCATTGAGGGATCCCTCAATAATTAAACACTCCACATTACATTTATATCAATTTTATATATCCAAATAAAATTATTAATTTACTAAACACTAATGATTTTAACGCAATACATGAGTTAGGATTGACTAGTATTTTACAAGAACGATGACCACTCGTTTCTCACCCTTCTAGCCAACCATTGGACAAAAGAATAAAGATTTATCCATAGTAACTTTTAGCAAACTTTTACTCCTAATTAAGGTGATTAAGATAACAAGACTATATTTTGGTAAAGAAGATAACAAAACTTGCATAGGCTTGGAACATCAGTTATATATGGGCATACTCAAAGCTCTTTAAAAATGAAGGAAAAGATATGCATGCAGCCAAGAAAGTGCATGCTTTGATTAGAAACTTGGATGGATCGATCATGCATGAAATGATATTTGTGTGTGTGTGTGTGTGTGTGTGTTATATTGTGGCTAAATCCAAAAGAAATTAATCTTAAAAAAATAAGGTCGGCTCTGTAATCTGTGTACAAATCACTGAGCAGAGGCATTGGGCAACCCAAAGTTACAAGTAAGTGGTAAAACAAGGTTCATTTGATCAGTGTGGTTATACTGTTTTTTATGCATAATCGAGAGAAATGGGGGGACAAAGTAAAAAGGATCCAAAGAAAGTATACCCCAACAGCTACAAGAAAAGAAGGAATTATTGCTTTCTTATTTTATACTATACACTAATTCATAGAGTTGGTTGGTTTAGGTAAGGTTAACACCAGACCATTTGTCCTTAAGTGTGATCTGCATTATTTTAAGATGGAAATTGTCTGGCTCCTTATAAGATTATTCAACAACGATATTGTCACATCCCAATCCGTATAGTAAGATATTGTTCGTTTTGGGTCACTCCCTCACATATTTGTTCTTAGGCTTCCACCCAAAACGTGTCTCACTATAGGAAGGTGGGCATGTACATATAAGGCTCATCACCTCCTCTCCCCCGGGCGATATGGGATCTTACAATCCACCCCCCTTAGGGGCCCAACGTCCTCGTCGGCACACTTCCGGCCGGGGAGTGGCTTTGATACCAAATTGTCACATCCCAATCCGCATAGTAAAATATTGTCCGCTTTGGGTCACGCTCTCACGTGTCTCACTATAGCAAGGTGAGCATGTACATATAAGGCACATCACCTCCTCTTCTCCAGGCGATGTGGGATTTTACAGATATGATATTATTTTCTCTACAAATATCGTAATTAGAACAGTTTATTTTCTTTATCATCATTTATAAATTATCTCTAGAAAAATTCATTAAATTTGAAGACCATTTAATCATTCATACGAATAAAATTTTTTATGACTTATCATGAAAACGTAATTTGCCCGACACAATGATTAAGTAAACAACTTTCAAATTGAATAATCTTTTATAAGTATGATTACTAAATGATGTTAAAGAGAATGAACATACTATATAATACACATAAAATTTATGTCAGATATTATAGGATCTCTTAATTTCATATTTCTAGTATGGACATTAGGTTGTGGCCCTTGTGGGTGGAGATGAATAGAACTGAAAATTTTGAAAAGTAAACTGAATAATGCTGGATGAAAAATGATTCCAAATGGCAAATGCACAAGTTGGAGAGATAGGCATAAGCGAGTAGGCCAAATTATATACAATCATGTAGGAGAATCTTGAAAACTGCCTAGCTATGGTCTTCTTTTACTTTTTCAGAAAAAAAAAGGTTTGTTTAATTATTTGGAAAATTTTCAAAAAGATGAACGAGATCAAGATTCTTTGTGATAATATTAAGAAGTCATGCTTATAATTAACAATTGGGGAATTAGACATTAGTATTTATGCTGTGCTTAGATATGATAAAAAGTTGAGAACCATATGCGTACACACATAAAAAAATTATTAAAATTAAAATGTCAATGTTTTAGCATTCAAAACAGCTTCAAGTCACGTCCCCAATAAAAAAAAAACTTTATACTTTCAGGATGGAAAAAATTGAAGGAAGTAGAGGTATTACTTCAAAATCAATTGGCATGATGGATAAAGTCCTTCCAAGCCATTTGGAAAGAGAAAAAACAAAAAAAAAAGGGAGAATCAAATGATGTCGTAAGATTTTAGCTCTTAGATGCCATAAAGAATATGTTGATGCACAAAATCAGTGACATAAGATTCCATCATAAAATCAATTGATAATATAAGAGTATAGCCCGACTCCTTATAAACTCTTGCATGGTTTGGTTTCTCACCAATGTGAGACTTTGTCCTCACATTCTTACAGGTTGAGGAAATAACCTCAATTTTCTTCACATTCTTAGGCGCGGGTGCTCACATGTATGGTATTGAGTACGAGAAACTTATCTTGAAGTGCATATTTATTTATCCTTTTTGTTATATTTACTTTTCATATCTTTTTAATGGATACATTTTTTGTGTCATAGATGAAATGGAATAGAAATGATTTAGTGGTAAGAGTCATAGAAACAAATATTTCTTTCATATTTTAGTTGATATATTTGTGTGTACAATATTTATTTTGTGGTTTGATCGTGTAATAAGTGTTGTAAACTGAATAAAATATATTTCTAGTTATCAAACATATTATTGAGGGGATCCAACTTATTATCTATGAGTACATGGATCGATGAATCAAGTGATAAGATAGAAATAGAGGTCGGCCGAGAAGTTGGATTATCTCTTATAATTAGTAGTAGTCATTAACTTTTTTGAGGATATAGTAGTTTTATTTTTTTATTTTTTTTTTGTTTCCGAACAAACGATATTAATCTACATTAAAGGGAAGAAAATGTAGTGGTTATTAACAAGATGGCAGACTACAAACTTGGAGAAACAACGAAATAATATATGTAGAAGTACAGGATATATACACACACACACACACACATCATCTTGACAATCAAATAATGCAAAATAATGCAATAGCAGGAGAACAGGAATAGTGTTGGGAGGATTGTCGGGTTATGGATGATCATATATGAATCAACTTAACATTGATTTTCTTGGACCTAGAGATCTTTGCCGGGGACCCCATGATTTGGATTAAGTATCTAAACTCCACACATGCAATATACCTGTATACGTATAACAGTATATATATGTATATATGTCTTCGTGCGTGTGTGTATATATATTAACTTTATAGCAAGTATTCTGCTCCACTGTTCGTAAAGCGAGACGTGTTATTACTCACATATATACCACACGTATAAATTACATGTTTTTATCCATATGTGTAACTCAAAATGTGAAATCATATAGGTGATATAACATGAATATACGTGTTATATATGGGCAATAATCTATCCCGCTCCATAAACAGTAAAGCAAATCCCCTTCAAAGGGAGTAACTATATGTATTTGTAGTTGTACAGAAACACTCCAATGAGGGTAGAGTTATAGTGCAGTAGTTTGAATTACACTCAATGGCACTGCCACGGAAAGAGGAGAGAGAGGAAGGGACTGTTGGAGGCTATGCCAATGGAGCCAGGAGGATCTTAAATCGTATCCGTTTATTGTATATATACGGTCAGTTTTTTTTTACAGATACTATTCATATTTAATTTAAATTAAAAGTATTTAAAATAACTTCTGGTTGTGCAATATACAATGAACGGACACAATTTGATGATCTCCAGGATCCTCATAATGGAGGATGCTCTTCCATTCAATTATGAGCGAAGATCCTCGCTGGATCCTCATTGGATCCTCGCTAGATCCTCATCGGATCCTCTTTGTGAGGATCCGAGAATCCTTCAAGCATATTCGTTCATCGTATATTGTGTAGCCTTTTGTCAGGTGCTGTTTACATTTAATTTTAAATAAAAAAATTTACAATGATTTCTGATCGCACGATGTACGGTGAACAAATATAATTGAAAATTTTTCAAAATCCTTAAAAAAAAAAAAAAAAATCCAACTAAGATCCTCTGGATCAAATAAAGCAACAAATCTGACAAACTTTGCTTCATATCAGATGGAGATTCTTCTGTCAAATCATATACATATGTGCTTTTAACTTTTTTGGGTCCGATGGAAACTATATATTACATCTCCTGCAGTTTCATGAGTTCAATCGTACTTGGTTTTCCTCGGGAATGGAACAGAATTTTTTTGTCATTTCACCTGTTGGCCATGCACATATTCTTGTGCTCTTGTTTGCACGCGTCAGGACACTTCTCACATTGCATATATGCTACTGTATCAAATCGCAGTCGGCACAAGCGTTTATAAATGTTATAAAAAAAAGGTGTTGAGCGATCAAACTTGACAAGCGCGCGCTGTACCTGTTTCCACTCGTTAGAAGCATATGAATATTGTAATAATTTTCCATACTTGTCTCAGACTTACTATAAAATTAATACGCAACCTGAATAGGTGTACAATTTTTAACAAGCCCTTGCACAATTTGTTTATTCTCTTATGTGAGACTTTACCCTTCATATCTCACGGTTCTGACAACTACTATTACTAACTTTTGAATCTTGAAAATACAAATAATTTTCGATAGTGCATGATTAGAAGATTATAGTTGGATTTATTTGGTCTTATTGATTGTTGTTCGGTGTTTCACCTTTGAACTTATTGATTGTTGTTCGGTGTTTCACCTTTAAAATAAAATTTCAAAACCCATTCTCACCAAAAGTATTTCTTAATGGGTAAAACACGTCGAGTAGTGTAACCCGCTATTTTAACTAGTCGAATTCAGGTTCGAACAACCGATTGATGAAATGTGACTTGTTAAGATAAGGAGTGAAGACGAATATAACAAACACAAGTCATTTCACATCTACTTCCATGTATGCACTCAAAAAGTGTGTGCCTAAACCTAAAAGCTAAACTTAACCGGTTACAACAGAAAAACTGAATTCGGGGCTCCAAAACAGAGCCCAAGTTCGACCCAACCCAGTAAACAAGCACCCATGATGGAAATCCACCACCATCCAAATTCAGTCTGACCAGTTACCACCACCCAGGAACACGAGAACATGGCTCTACGCATGTTCGTACAGTTCCCGGTAACCTCACCCTTCTCGCCACCCACAAAATCCGGTAGCCTAAACTCACCCGTACGGTTGAAACTGCCATGTTCCGGTAGCCACTCAATTCCCCTATCCCAACCCAGACGGCCCCTAACACAGAAGAACAGAAGACAATCATTTCTCAGAGCCGTCGACGAAAGCCAGACGAATTCCGAGTCGGGTGCGGAATCGGTGAGCACCGAAGACGAATCGGCCGCGGAAGGAGAGTCGGCCGTGAGTCAACCGGTCGAGTTGAGCGAGTTGGGGAAGGAGATCAAGGCAGCGATGCAGAAGAGGAAGGAGGAGAAAGAGGGGGACTTTTTGAGCGGAGTGGCGGAGGAAGTTAGGGAGATCGAGTGGCCGGCGTTCGCTAAGGTGTTGGGAACCACCGGGGTGGTGCTCGGCGTCATTGCCGGCTCCAGCGTCGTTTTGCTCACTGTCAATGCCGTTTTGGCTGAGTTTTCCGATCAGGTTTTTGTTGGGAGAGGGGTTCAGGATTTTTTCAGCTGAGACTCAGAATGAGAGAGGAGTGATAATGTTGGGCTTCTGGGCCCACTATCATACCCGGCCCGGCCCATATGTGTTGTGTTGTCTTCCTGGAAGAGAGACAGACCGTACATCATGTAATGGAGACTCATTTCTTTGTGTTTCACGAAAGGAAAGAGAATTTGATTTCCGAACGCGGTGTATTAAACCAAGTAGCTAACATAAAACTTTGCTAAGATTACGGATCCTTCAAAATTTGTGGTTTAACTTTACGAATTTGTGTTTTTCCCCTGAAATTTTTACCAATGAAAGAAAAACATAATTAAATAGGGTACAAATACAATTATAATTCAGTACAATAGTTGTAACTTGTAAACTTCTACCCTGATCAACCAAAACCCCAAAATCTCTAGCACGTGCTACACTTAAAAACACACTGCATTTAAAAGGTTCGTGACGACGAAACAAAGGTCGAAGAACAACAGAAATGGAGACTTATCGTTCATTCACTTCCGCCAGCAGGGCCGACCAGGACTCCTTGAGCTGTCCCTTCCTTCCGAGCGTTATCATCCTTCTCCTCACCCTGCTCCTTCCGTATCCTGATCTTGTACTTAGCCTCAAAATCAGAGATTTCCTTTTTCTTCTTTTCCAATGCCTCATTCAGCCTAGCTATAACCTCCTCAATCCCCTCTTTGTTGCGCTGCACAGCAGGCAGAACCTCCTTGATGGTTCTCTCCACCAGAACACCTCCGATCATCCGGTAGCATCGCCTGGATGGATCGAGTGGCTGGATGGCATTGATGACCAACAAGTGCTCGCTCGCTTCCATCTCTAGCTCAGTGATTTTCGAGTAAATTTGGTTGAGTTCAGACCTCATAGCAGCAAACTTATTTGCAACTGCTTGTTCATTTACATATTCCTTCTGATCTTCAGCTTTACTAGTGGCCATGGTTCTCTACAAATGATGGAGCAAACAGTATTCATGAGTAGGAAGAATCCACATAAACATAAATTCGCTACCTAAGATAGATCACAACAAAAAGGTATACAGTATATTGCATTTAGTAGAAACCGTAAAGCTTCTGCTTCCTGGTTCTCGCAGTGTAAGCAATTTATTTTAAAAAAGGATAGTGCTATTCACATACCCACTTTACTTCTCACACACACCCTTATTAACTTTTGGCCATTGATCTTCTTCAATTCATTCAATATGATGACCCGAAATTCAAAGAAGGGTGTGTGAGAAGTAAAAATGGGTGTGTGGATAGCACTACCCCAAAAAAAACAAACACAATTTTGCGGCTGCATCTACCATTAGTCACAGACAAAGTTCATATGCTCCTTGGAGCAAACTCGCATTATTTCATTTGGGGAAAAAAATCAACCTTAAAGCTTGTTGCAACCAGGAAACAATTTTTCAACATGATAGACAACAAACAAGTTCATCTAATATGAGTTTATTCATTCCCCAACAAAAAATGAAAAGGAAAAAGAGCTTTATCCTAGTTGTAACTATAATTGGTGTGACTATGATACTATCCCCTCCCCAACTAAGGATGCAAAATGACTGCATCCCTCCGGGGCTATTTCTGGTTGTTGACTCATCTCTGTCTAGCACACTTGCACTACATAAACACATACGTAAAATCTGTTGTCAACTTATCGTATACTCCTTGACCAAATGTTGTTATCTGACGGAAACAATATGTGGTAGGTAGCAGTTAATTGACGAGAAAACATCTAAGTAATCAATTGATTCTGTGAATCTTCTATAGTATGGTTGCACTAAATATGCACATGCATAGAATCTGCTGTTAGCAACTCCTCTGAGTCTCTGACCATATGATTTTTAACAAATGTTAAATATCAAGGCAAACATTGGCCTGTACGAGCATATCTACTACGTTTGATACATTGAGTTGCACCCTTTGGACCTTTGAATATGTACTCCAGTAACAACTCAACTAGAAATTTGAGTCTTCAAATGAGTCTATCTTTAACCCTAAAGTATCTTGAGCTGGATTTTGAAGATGTACGTAATAACCAGAATAAAAAAATGTTTCAAAAATAATTGATTCAAGATAATTTTTTAGCAAACAGTTCTTTACTAAATCTAAAAGCGTCAAGATTACTAATCTATTCCTATATCTCTACCTAGATCAAAATGAAGCTGGAATAGGTTAAAACTTTAGTTTCATCTTGAAGAATAAGTTTCCCCTCCCTGTCCTATGATTTTTCTTCAACACACTAAGACCACCTATTCATACTGAAATTGACACAGTGTGAGATATTAAACAGGGAAATCCAACGAAAACCCTAAGCTAAATCCACTAGAAATTTGGAATCCATCAGAAATACAGCGAACATGTCACCATCATGGTGTATGAATGCCGTTTTCATATTCTATACAAGCTCAGAAAACATATGTATGCAATAACGGGCATTGGTTGTTGAATATCTTTAAATTTTTCAAGAACTCGAAGAAATTTTATGATTTCGATTGGATAGTTTGTTATAAATTCACATATAATAGCTTAGCTTAGTACCAACTTCCCAATATTTACATGTTTAATGCGAAAAATGTTGTTTCTTTGTCTACTTTATGCAGTTTCAGGAAGACGAATCCAGAATCGGAGTTCGAATCGAATACAACAAGAAAAACTTAAGCTATTTCTGCAGATACTGATGAGTGATGAACATCTTAATATTCCAACTTAAGCAGAAAATCGCAGCTACCCAAGTACCCAAACACTCCCTTTTCTCCGTGCTCTTGGCGCAGTTAAACACAAGCAGTTATTAATTTTGATTAAATTTACAGAAATCAGAGGTTTCGAAACCCTATGATCGTACTTCAAATGAAAGAAGACGAAATTAACATCCATGGCGAAGGAAGCGTACCTGACTGGTGGCGCGGAGGAACTGTTGAGAAGACGGAGGGAGAGACGGTGGCTCTGTGGACTATAGAGAGAGCGGCAGCGACGGAGGAAGCGAATGACGACGCTGCTCAACCGCGGTTTGACACAGCGAGTATTTTACTTTGGTTTTTTGGCAGAATTGCACAAATACCCTGTGTAGTTTACTAAATTTTCACTGTCATCCTTATGTTTGTTGCATTTTCATTCCTCTTGTTCATTCCAGTTAGCACCGTTAGTCGGAGAAATTTTTTATGAGCAACTGTGAGAGCTAAATCATGTGTTATAATAAGAGAAGACAACAAAATTGATATATCATATTTATAAGTACTAATTGAAAAATAAACTAACGATTAAAATTTGAGTAGAATAATAACGTTACGTGACCGTGTTTCAGGTCTGCAGAAAAATCACTCACTCAGTCCAATTTATCAAATAAGAAAAGACATGATGTCACCGAGGATATATTTTCATCTCTGTAGCACTCACCAATATTTGAGCATCACGGAGGATATCCTAGGTTATATCTAATTAGAAAACCAAATCAATGAACAAGAAAGATCATGGAGATGAAATAGATTATTTATAACATTATATCCATCTAAAAGGCTCACAAAAAGAAATGAAAGTGACATTCAAACCCTAGTAACTTAATAAAAGCATGAAATATAAATTTATACGCATTTGTTAAACTTCAATTAGTCTATATTAAGAGAAATGGTTTTTAAACTCGTCATTCTTGAAACCTAACAAATTCCACATGACAAGTCCTTTTCAAACCAATTTTGAACATGGAAATTTGCTTGTGCATCTCCTGCTTATGTTGGTGAAGAAAGTAAGAGACCTCGCAACAATACAAAGTCATTACAATCTCGATTATACAAACTTGTTTCGGATAATTAGAATTTGAGTAAAATAATAAGGTCACGTGACCGTGTTTCAGATTTTGCAGAAAAATCATTCACTCAGTCTAATTCATCAAATGAGAAAAGATTGGATGTCACCGAAGATATATTTTCATGTCTTTGTAGCACTCATCAAGATTTGAGCATCATGGAGGATAAATCCTAGGTTATATCTAATTAGAAAACCAAATTAATGAACAAGAAAGATCATGGACATGAAACAGATTATTTATCACTTTGTATCCATCTCAAAGGCTCACAAAAAGAAAGGAAAGTGATATTCAAACTCTAGTAACTTAATAAAAACACAAAATATAAGTTTATACTCATTTGTCAAACTGCAATTAGTCTCTCTATTAAGAGGAATGGTTTTTGAACTCGTCATTCCTGAAACCTAACAAATTCCAGACGACAAGTCCTTTTGAACCAATATTGGACATGGAAAGTTGTTTGTGTATCCCCTGCTTAGGTTGGTGAAAAAGGTAAGACCTCACAACAATACAAATAGTCATTTTCTTTGTAACATTCTCGATTACAGGAGCAGAGATGTTAAAATCCTGACCATCTTTTGGGAAATATCCCTTTACTTCCAAATATTCGACAACATGGCAATTGGAGACGAGCTTTCTGGTTAATGCAATACCTATAGGATTCACACAAAGGCACTTGAGACTTGAGAAACAAACTGATGCAAGGAAATCATAGGCAATTCAATTGAGTCCACCTTCAGAACCACCAGTGTTTTGCTCGTGAAAACGCTTTTAGGCATTGTGAACTCTAACTTCCCGACGTTATAAAGTTCAAAAACATAAAAACAGAGATCAACTTCGACAAAATCTTACACGGTGGAGAAATATTTCTTTTGAGAAAACAGTGTTCGTGAATCTTGGCATCTCTTTTCGGTTGTGCAACATGTTCATCGTCTAAAATGGGGTTTGATTTTGTTGCTGATTCATCAGCTGTCTAGCTTATGTCTTAGTCTCTTAACCTCCTTCAAGGCTTGTACCATCAACCGATGAAGACTTGAAGCGAAGAGTGATTGGGCTAAGAAGGGAACCTCCCGAGAGAAAAAGTAAATGATGGAGATTTCATCCATACTTCATGAAACATTAAACGATAGTGCTTTCATTTATAATTCATCAAACATCAAACAATAGTTCTTTCATTCATAATTCACAGTAAAAAAAGACCGGCACAAACTACAACTGTTCAACACAACTTTTCATATTATGAAAACATAGCATAATAGCTTCATTATCAATACAACCAAAAACATCTTTCTCAATATAAATAACCAAACTATCCCTTAACCATTGATCTCCATGTTGCAGTCGCAACCAGCAAGACCAAAGCAAGTGTAATGAGCAAATACACATAATTAAAATTTCGATGCATCCCCTTCACCATTTTTTTTTTTTTTCCAAGATTACTAATCCCTCGCAATTGAGAAAAATCACAACTCGGACGCATATAATGAATATAAAGCCCAAGCTGACCTTCAAGTGTAAAAAA